TGATTTAACATCATGTGCTATCTGGGTAATATCTGAATGGTTAACCTGCATCACCAGTTTAGTTCAGATCATTCATGTTAGCTTGAATAATATTTGTCCCACCTACAAACCTAGATTAATAAGGTCAATAGAATAATTAATAATGTACCTCTGCATGGGAATATGAACTAATTGAACGGATAAATAATGTATTTTACAAGTCATGTGTCTATGCATTTCAAATTTTAGATAAGAATATATACGTAATATCCTTAGCATGTTTAGCTCTCGATAGATTTTAGCCCGATATTAATATCCCTGTTCGACTAAGTTCACAAGTAGTTGTGAGATTTATTGCATAGCAAGACCTCAAGTAATCTTTGGCTCATTTCAATTCACTGAGAAAAGGAGATAAGGGATTTAATGTGCTTTTACTAATCTTGTCACTGTGATTATGGCTCCAGGACGCAGCTGAAGCTGGATCAGCCATTTATGCACAAAGCTTTGTACCATTGTTTGCTCCACAATGCCTGGCAGTGCATGTATCTTTCAGCAGTGTTGCTGAGAAAAATCTGCCTGACTTGTGGTAACAGCGGCAATACTCACAGCTGATCTGATTGTAGTGCAGGAGCGCACACTTTCATCTGTAATGTGGGGAAAAAAAATCATGTAGCTGGAGTTGTTATCCTGGAGATGGATCCTGACAGCCAACATAGGCTCTGCATGCTGTCGAACACACCTTGCTCTCGCTGCTGTTGTTGTTTCTTTGGCTCTTTGTTTTCCCTTTTTCTTCCTCCAACTGTCTTGATACCCCACACTTCATTCCTGCAGACTTTTGTTGTTTTATATTTTCCTTCTCTTTTCTGTAAATCCTTCCACCAGCTTTCTTGTCATCCTTTCCAACCATTTATCTCCCACTCCTTCCTCGCTTCGCTTTGGCTTCATTTTCTCTTCTTTCTCACCTTTCATCCTAATTCAATACCTTTCACTCTTTTTACACCCTTTATCGCCATCTTTCTTACACTTTTATCCCCTCGTCCATCTTTTTCTTACATTATCAGTTTCTTCATCCAGCCAGCTTTGAGAGCCACATGCACTCCCTCTTTCCCTGATCTTGAGAAGATAGCTGATCCCACTGATGCTATTTTAAGCCTGTCATGCATACGCGTCCTCCTCTTCCCAACCATGGAAAACTGGCAGCCACAAAGAGAGACATGAAATGCACATTCTTCCCTCACAACCAGCTCTTCTCCTCCCGATTGAGACTTTGAAATCTGTATAATTAACCATATTGTCCAGGGATAAGCTAGCCTGGCAGCAGATTGCTCTCCATATGCTGATACTAAAAAGATGATTTAATGGCCTTGAAGATTTGGTCTGAGGGCTTGGAAAAGGTAAAAGGCATGCATTTATTAACATTGTATCTCATGTCATTCATCGTTTAGAAAAGGTCAACCTAATTCCTGATCTATTCTCATTTCCAGATTATTGTTTCATATCCCAGTGGGCAATGTTTGAAAAAAAATAAAATAAAATAAAAAAAATAAAAATAAGTACAGATGTAAGGCATCATCTGCATGGACAATAGGTATTTTTTTTTTTTTTTTTTATGACAATTTGGGCAGAGGGACATTTTGAAATACCTGAAGTTGTTCAAGGTCAATTTTTAAGATAGTTTGGAGAAAAACTGATTATTGATGATAAGATCAACAAGTTAGAAAATTTATCTGTGGTCTTCCAATTATCTGAGTTTGGGTCAAGGCTTAGCTATTCCAGGGGGGAGACCAGACTAATAGGTGCATATAATCATAATTCTGAGTGTGTCCTGAGATCTTTCCATTGTCACAAACCCAGGAAACCCCTCCAGAGAGATGCCAACGAAGTGTCTTCATCAGGTAGTGCAACTTCTTCAGCTTGTTCCTTTTAATAAGGAGGGGCAACATATCTATTCCAGGTTCCCACCATTTGTTGAAGCAGCTCACTCTATCTCTAGGACTGAGTCCAGTTGTAGATAAGGTCCCAGTCTGCCTGTCCGTTTGCCCCTTCATCCAACCACCACTCACAAAGAAGATACCAACCGACCTAAATTCCTCTGCTTCAGGCAGAATTTGACCTCCGATCTTGAAAAAGCAGTTTATCTCTTGTCAGGTTGAAAATGATTAAATATTCATTCCCTGTAAAAAATGAAACATTTCCTCTTTTCACAGCACTGAAATTTAGCCTACAAAGTGAAACTGGGCCTTCTGTTGAGTAGTTGCTAAATTTATTAAACCCTAAGTGACAGACCAGTACAACAAAACATGAGACACAGCTTTATTGGTTGGAAAGAAAAATACAGTAAATACCATTGAGAAAATTCTGCAGTTATTGAAAATACTAAAAAAGTATATTGATTATTATGTGCATGATAAATCATAATATTTCCTCACCTGACTGTTGTGAGCATGCCTAATCTTCTGTGGCAAATTCATGGTGCTTCATTAGTGACGTCATATCTGTGAATTGAGAGGCGCATAAGGAGCAACTTCTGTTAGCAGCAGTTGTATTTTGTCCATGACATCTGATCATACGAATCTCCGCAGCTTGATCAGAAACATTTGGTTGTTATGAAGACTTCGTGACCTGCAGGTTACCCCTCTGCACTTTTCTGTAGCTGGCGTCACACTGTGCAAACATCAACCATCAAAACACAAATTTTGTCATGAAAGAAAATTTCTGGTCATAAAATTTAATTGGTGCATGGTCATTCAGTTTGATGGAAAAATGTATCTCAACCAAGGATGATGTGACAAATATCACATTGTGTCCAAAACTTTCTCAGAAAATTGTGCAGTGTAACAGTAATGTTATTTTTGACTTATTTTGCTCAACAATGAGGACATCTATCACTGTTTTTCTTCTCCTCTCCATTTTTTCAACATGTGATCCTAAAAATAAACACATTAGCTCCCGTAAATTGCTATCTATTTGTCGTTGGACTAATGAGTCTGTCGTACCTTTCTGACATGACAGTGGAGCAGCAGTTAATCATGCATTCTGACAGGAGTTATTGTCATATTGAACTTGCACAGTGTGATTTGTTCAAGCCCTGTACATGTTTTTACATGGTGGAATATGTTTCAGGCTTATTTGTGGGATTTCTTACATCTTATAGCTTCCTGTATCATCTGCATGTTGGTAAGATGTTTTTTTGTTGTTGTTGTTGTTTTTAAATATTTTTTGTGGCCTTTATTTAACTTTAATCTGACAGGAAGTGGGCAGAAAGAGAAAGGGAGAAAGACAAGCAACAAAGGAATCGAGCATGGGAGCTGAACTGGGGATGGTGGTGTTGAGGTCTGTAGGCTCTGAATGCTGGGCGCCCGCTCTAATCACTGCACCACCTGACGCCCCAGCAAGATGGTTTTCATCCAGCCCAGTTATACTAGGATTTTTATTGTTCTGATTACAGATATAAAGAGGTTGGAAAAGTGTTTGTTTCCTTGTTGCGGTTTCCTGAAGACCAAAATACATGTTCCACTTTTGAATGAAACATTCCTCCCTCTACTCCTCATTTTTAAGACTGGCCAAGAGAAATGAGAAACTGTTACTCTATATTAATATTCTAAGAAGACAGGATGTCTTGGTTTACTAATTGTTACCTAAAAATATTTAAATATAAAACATTCCCTGAATTGAATATTTTAACCTGAAATGTTAGTGTTGATAAACATTATAGCACTAGTAACTGTGCTAAAAAAACAAAAACAAAACTCTTTCCAAATAAACTCTAATTAATTTTTCTAAATTGTTTTTTGCATGATTGCTCCACTACAATAAACAGGATTTTAATTAGTACATATATATTCATGATAAGAAAAGACAAGCATTACTAATTAGTAGCTGTATAGTTCATCTTGTTTATTGGTTGTACTCATACATTTTCAAAATGACAGCTTTTTTTCTAAAGACTTTCAAATGAATTGTACTGTCTATAAAGGCAGACATAGCAACAGAACAGAACACCTTAAATACAGAGCAACTCTCAGCACAGATGTCAGACTCTTTGAAATTCAGTTTTACTGTGGTGAATTACTTTTATCCACAGTTCAAAGGAAAAAATAAAGATTTTTAAAGACAGGGTTATGAAATGCTAGTTAGCAAATAATGTTTAGAAGTTCTATGATGATTTGCAGTGTATCAAGTTTCTATTAACATCAAGCTTGTCATGAGAGTTGCTTTGTTTTGCAGGAGTTCAGTCATGTTGCAGTGTTGTTTTATTAAGAACTTTATACACCAGTGGAGGAACAGCAACAATCGACACATTTGTGCTTATCTTTTTTTTTAAATGTTCTCTTTTCTGTCAAATATTCGTTTGTCACATACTCATTTCACAAGAACAGACTAATTTAAATCTGTCATAAGTTTATACCAACATGCTCACAATGTTTTGTTGCTTTTTTTTTCTTTTTGTAATGTGTGTCACATCAACATACATCAAAACACGCCCTTTTGCTTCAAACACACGGCTCCAGGTCTGCCATTGTGATGTTGGAATATTATGACTTGTTTTTGTGGCTGGCAGGGTCGTCAAAGGCAGCATAAAAAAAGCAAGAGGTTCAGTCATGTGCTTGGGTTTCATTTAAAGGCCATGGCCATAACTTTAGGGGAGGAAATCAGTTTGAGACATAAAAAAGTACTGCAAAATAACACGAACTGGCAAACTTTACATTGGTCCAGGTTCTCCTCATTTTCAAACATCACATTTGTCCTAAGACATAAATTGCACACATGATTTACTAATTACATTAATCAGCATAATTTGAAGCAGAAAGAACCTCATATCAACTCATGCGCTCAAAATGTTAGAAGATAGATATGAGTTGGATCTGTGCTGATGTGCTGGACATGGATGCAACTCTTTGCTTTCAAATACTTCCCTGTTTGTGTGTTGTAGATTATTCTATACATTGTGCAAAAACAGCCGTAGACAAATCTAGAAGGCCACCAGGTGTCAAACGTTTGTCTAAATTTTCAATCATTCGTATGTTTACAAATGACTTTTACTTTCAGCTGCATGGATGACCTTGTTTCTAGAATGTATCAAAGCAAAACAAAAGAAAAGAAGAAGCAGCAGACAGAGTCAAGCAAACAGATCCTGGTAGCAGCTTATATTTTCTGTTAAACATGGACTGAAAATGAACTGTGCAAGAAAACCAAATGCTACTTTACAGTTTTATGGAGCCTTGCAAAACTATCAAAACACCTTGATGTTTTTCCACATTCCATCAGGAGACAACTGCAAAAATTAATACATTTGTATGTAGAAAAGTAGTGTTTAACTTTGAATGAGAAGGAACATAGTACATGACTTTCAAAACTTAAACATTTTTTAACTCTGAACAGTGTGGCATGCACCTGAATTCTGCTAACTCCTTCCTTATTAAACATTTGTTACAATCAGCTTTAAACATTTAGAAACTGAAATAATTATCCATTTTCTTGACAGCATAGCTAAAGCTTAGTCACATTGAATGGAAAGTGTTTGCGAGCATTACTTTTAAAGTTTTACCAAACAATTCTCATTTACATTTAGATTTATCCCAAAATTACGCCACCAATTATATGTTAAACATGGTGTGTTCAGAGAATTTTTCTTCCACCACACATAGTGTTTCCCAAAGTCTTGCAGGTAGTCTGCATCACCTGGGTTGTGAGTGCCTGCTCCTCCTCCAGAGTTACTATGAGCCTCTTTGCTGCTTCTGTGATCCATGCTCTCTTTGCAAGGCCTCTGAGTTGAAATGGATGCCTTGATAGGTTTGCAGATTTGTCATGCTCTCAATTTTTTGATGTTAATTTCAACTTGGCTTCATGTTGAAAGGTTGGGTTATAATTTTATAACCTAACCGTGCTTTAAAATTCTCTATAGCTTATCCCTGACCTATCTGATGTGTCAATTGGTCGTCATAATGTTGTTTGTGCACTAACGACCTACAAAAAACCTTTGAGGCTTTCAAAAAAAAAAAAAGCTCCATTTATACTGAGATGAAATAACATATCAGACTCTAATCACTAATTAAATAATTTGTGAAGGAGTTTTATCCAGGGATATTGGAGTAGTGTACCGAATACATATTCACACCACACTTTTCAGATTTTTATTTGTCATAGTGTATTATTTTACAATGATACACTATTCTGTGCAAGTAAACATAAATAAATAAGTACATGTAAGTACTTATTTGCAAAAAATCTGAAAAAATGTATAAGGGGTATTAATATTTTCCAAAACTCCATATGAGCTAAAAGCTGTGCAACCAGACAGTCAGGGATCTCTCCATATAATGTAATGTGTGTTTGAACCTTTATGCTTATCAGAAATGTGAATTCAAGCATTAAACAATATTGATTGAAGTTCAGGTAACAGAAGATTGAACTAAAATTAAGTTGTTTTTAATCCCATTATCAAATAATTGATCCTGAATAATTTTTCAGTTGTGCTTCAGAACAAACTAACTAAAATATACGTTTTATTTTGTAAGGAAACTTACAGAGAGTTTCAAAGGTATTCAGAGGAACAATGTCAAAAAAAGTGTTCCTTGACACTGTATTCAATATTGCTGACAACTCTGGGCCTTAGGAGAAGAAATTTGATCCTTTTTCCTTCCCTTCTGTCTTGTACAAGTACATACTGATCAAAAAAATTAAGTTGTTTTTTCAAAAGGCCCTACATAATATGTACTCTGCTGTGGAAAAAACATGTGGATGCTAACAACATGAAATAGGCTCAACGTATTGAATTTTAGCTTTACATTACTGTTTCATTTCATGCAGAAAGTAGAAACATGATTATTGAGTGTATTGAGTAGTCACAAGAACTCAACAAAATTACTCCTTTTATCCTTGTTGGTTTTGAGTAGACTTGGTTGTTGTTATTCTTTTGTGCAGACGGTTTTTCATTATTATTTTCCCCTGAAAATGCACTTTTATTGCATTCCAACTTTACTGAAAAGGTTTTTCCATGCAGTTATGGCTGCATAATCCATAGCTGATGCTTTGGACTAAAATATAGAAGACCTACTGATAAATCATTGTAAAACGCGTTCAGCACCATACAATTTCTTGATCTATTCCTGTCCAGCTTGCATTTACAAGTTTCAATTTTAAACAACCTTTTAGCCAATTATCCTTTTAGAACAACTCAACTTACAGAAAATTTGATTGTTGAAATATTTTAGTGATATTTGACTTTTTCTGCAGCATTCGGAGGCAAAAATGCTGACTGTTCCCTTTAATACTGTTGTCCTAAATGAAATTACAGAAAAGTTGTTGTAATTTACATATATGTAATTTATTTTCTTTCACCTGTGATGGCCAAGTATTACATGCCAAAACAAAGAGCGGCATACACATTTTAAGCGGATCACTGAGATAACAGAGCAGCAGCGCGTCACGGATCTACATGTTTTATATACAGAGTATATTACATTGTTCTACTTGAATATGATTTATTGTGCTTATTTACATATGATATGTAGCCCAGATGAAAAGAATTGGTCTTAGAACAAAAATGATAAAATACATGAAAGTAAAACTGAAATATTGTGGAAACATAGAAAAATAAGCCCTGTTATACCTCGCATTTAACATGAGGAGAATGGCTGTTTCTCATTTGGAACCTACTGCAACACGTTTCCTGAGCCCTACTATAAATTACTATAAATCTGAGCTGATAAATGGGCATCTGTGAATAATAGCTCTCTGTAAACTCTCACATTAAATGCATTTTGTGGCCAGTATGACAACATTTCAGTAATTATATTGAAATAAAAGTCCTTCGGATATAAAAATAACTATAGTAATAAAGCATTTGTAGGGGCATTTTTTAAATAAACCTATATATAAACCAATGTATTTAGTAAGTTTGTTATATTTGTTTTAATAATATGTGCTTTGAAATAATAAAAGAATAACTAAAATTTTTAATAATTTCAAAACCCAAACCATTTCAACTTTAAGAATATTAAAGTTCAGATAAAATCCTTTATGTCAGATTTCTATTAGTTCTTTTCCAAATATATTGCTGTTCTTTGAAGATTTTTTCTTTTCACTTACACACAAGACAGATACCTTAAGGACACCCCGAATATCCTCCAACAGACACAACATTTAGTCATTTTTATGTCATTATAGGAGCCTTTCTCTGAGTGCTTCATTCTTTTTTCATGCACAGTTAGCTGGGGACCAACAGTGTTTCGTTTCATTGTTGTTCTCACTGTTTAATATTAAGTGTATTGCTTTTGTCTAGGGATTTCTTGATTGACATTTTTCGGTCACAGATTTCGATTCTATTTATTTAACATTAAGCATTTGCGGATGTCTACATTTTCTATAAAGCATAAATTTCCACACTTTCTCTCAGTGTAGTAATGCTTAATGATAATGTCATCTGATTGACCAATTCCTCTGGAGTCCTACAGCTGTCTGACGTCTTTAAAGGACAAACTACCCTCCTCTCAGTAGCTTCTGTTACTATGTTATCCTGTGCAAGATGTTTCTAAATATCATTAAGTTCATGTGTGTGAAAGGGACAACAAAATACTTTTGAGAATATAACATATCAAGAGTTAACTGCAGCCAATTACTTTAATGCAATCATTCAAAAATCTGAATATTGGGGCATACCCTCTATGTTCTTTAGATGAAACGTCTCTTCAGATGACCCAGCAAGTGAAATGTACTCTGGCAAAAAGAAAATAATTAGTTTGACAAAGACTCTTTTTTTAAATAAATGCAAAAACTTTTACCAACTGATTGTCATCCATTTTAAACCACGTAATTCAAATTGGACTTTAGTGTTTTCCATTATAATTCCAATAAAAAGGTGAAGTAACTTTATTTATCTAGTATGGTAGCAGTTTTTTTAAAGATCACTGCTGTCCTAGTTTCTGTAGCTGCTTTGCAATACATTCCCTCGCTTCTACTAACTTAAATACAAGAGTAATGGCTAACCTTTAATGAATCACGAGTTGTATCTTTTTGTTAGAAACCCAAAGACTTCATTAGTAACTGTAAACAAGAACTACATATATCAGCTCTTTCATCAGACCGATCATCAATAACTATTGATTAGCTTGTCAACAGTAAGTGTGGAAAGCCTCGAACCATGTTGGCAGAGTTAGAAAACACCACTAGTACAGCCTTTTCTGTCTGTACAGTACTGTCAAACCAAGTGAGGCTTTAATTATACCATGATTTATTGTTCAGTATGAGTAAGGCGGAAAAAAATTTGATTTGTTTTGTTTTTTGTTTATGTGAATATACTGCGATGACTGTTGGAGTTTTACTCAGTTCCACCAAACCTTCGCTTTTTCTCTTTCCCTCACAACTGACTGTTGATCTACATCCAGGCAGCTTTGTAAAAATTACAGCCATGTGCTGCTGCTTGGTGCTCTTGGGGCACATTTGCAACATAACCTGCCTCTAAGAAGGGGAATTAATTTATATGCTGATGAAATTGTGCGTCCTTCTGGCTCAAGAGTCTCCAAATGTTACCTAAAAGTAAAGTAATCAGCCCAGCTGTTTGTGCCACTGTGGCAGCAGAGATCTCAGGGAGTATTTATGGTGAGAGCTCTGTTGGAACTGCATGAATTATTGATGAGTCCCGATGCAGATTTATCTTTGACCTCCAGGCCACCTGGGTACAAACACACACGTACACACCACCGCACTCATACAATCACGCAGTAAATCAGTGTTTGTCTTTGTTGGATCAGAAATGTTGCTTTGTAATTTTTTCAGTCAAAAGGACGGCTGATTACAGTCCGTGCAATCCATTAGCCATCAGTAACACCAGGTGCAACCAGTAATGATTTCAGCTGTTTGATCAGTTAGCTCTGCTGTTTTGGTCCAATGCTGATGCAGTCTGCAAGTTACTGCACATACATACAGTATATACTTGGTCTAAACTACATATAAACACATACTGTACATACTACATTTACCAAGAGCCTTTGCAACTGCCTTTTTAGATGATTTTTTCTTTCTCTTGACTTTCAACATCCTGTCAGGAAGTGTCCTCCCCAAAGTTGATTTTGTTTGAAAAAATCCATGATGGAAAAACACGTAAACTGATCCGTGGCCGTGTGCTTGCTTGCTCCCTCCGTGCTTCCCTCCAAAATTCAGGCTCAAAGGCGGTACTTTCTCAGCAGGTCGGTCTGCCACACGTACTGCCTTCCAGGAAACCTCTCTGGGATCTTGATCTTGTGGAAGTCTTGAATGCATTTTTGCAGCTCCTCCTGAACCGTTGGCTTTTCTTTTACGGGCCGTTTCTTGCAGCCACTGGTGTCTCGCGAGCTGGCTGTCAGAGTGCGCAGCAAGTCACTCTTTCGTCGCTGGTCAGACTGCTGAATCATGCTAACTGGGCCTTTCTTAGGTGGCCTGTCGAGGGTCTGGACCTTGGCATGAGGATGCGACTGACGGCTGACTGGACCTCGAATGACTGTTCCCTGGGGAGAGCTGGTCTCCGACTGGCTCTCCGAGCTGGAGGTTGAAAGCTCGTTGAAAGAAGTGCCACTCTCCCCTTCGCCATCACCCTTGTGGTTCTTGCAGCAGCAGTCACATGGAGGAGAAGACCAGCGTGATGGACCACCTGTGGAGACAAGACAAGCAGAACAGGAGCTAATATTAGATTCCATGGAGAGCTTCTTTCCCCCCCACTTTTTCCTTTCTTTGTAGATCAATCTGCATGAAGAAAAAAAACTTGACAATAGGACAAAGGAAGACACAAATTATTCAGAAAGGAAAAGAAAGACAAAGTAAGAAGCCATAGGGAAGACAAAGATGAGCAGTCAGCCGGTGCCAAATAGTTATCACCTAGAACAAAGTGACATGGCATCAGGAACCACCGGCTTTCCACCGCTCTAATCCTAAAAGTGAAGAGGGCAAACATGTGACATTCTTGCATTGTTAATCCTGCATTGCACGACCCATTTACACCCACAAAGAGCTAAAAACCTTTTTAAAATTTAAAACAGAAGTTCAAAACTGATACATGTACTTGTAGAGTACTGTGGAAAAGAATATGCTCCCTTAAATATGTCTTCTGTTTTTGCTTGCTTGTTTTACCTAGATGTTTAAGATAATCTCATCAATTTAATATGAGACACATATGACCAGAATAAATGCAAAAAATTGTTTTCAAATAGAAAATGTTACTTTGACCGGCGGTGGCTCAGCAAAATGCAGTCAATGTGGATTCATTCAGAGCTGCATGTTGCACCGGCACCCATTACACAGTGAGACAAAGAAGCTGGCTTTTATAGCTTGGGAAATTTCACCAATCATACCAAGAAAAAGGGTTTTCAAAAACAAAACAAGAAAACATTTTTTAGACAAACCTAACACAAAGCAATAAACGGTACCGTAAATATTTACATGCATGCAAATCATTCGAACTAAACTAATCTAAGGTCAACCAAAGAATAAATGTAACTTAATATAACTCCTCAGAGCATTACTCCTCTTAATTGACATGGCCATGCTGTAGGAGCTCTTCAGTAGCACCTGAAGCATTTGTCTCCCTTTGATGCTCCTCCCTGCTGAGGAGACACACCAGCAAAGCCAAACACTCAATTAGCAAACTCAAATTAAACCCAAAGAAGTCAGAAACAAACTGACATTTTCCCCCACAAAGTGAATATTTAATTTGTATCAATATGCCTAAAAAGGGTTACAAAGTCATTTCCACAAACACGGAAACATGGAATAGTGGTGAACCGTTTCAGAAGCGGTTTAGATTACTGCCTTCCATCTGTGAGGTCCCAAAAGAGTCCAGGACTCCTGTGAAGCAAACCAGGCCTCAGCTGCCTTGGTTAAAGACCGCTTCATGAATTATCAGCAAGAAAAAACAAAAACATCTTTATCAGTCTCAAGACTTTTTAAAAGATATTTTGTGGATTAATGTTGTGCATCACATCACATCTTCCAAAAACATAACTCAGCAGTTCAGAGACAGACAGACTAGAAGCTACTGTAAATAGTCCTTGTGTTGATCGTTGTGGCTGGTAAAGCATTTCATTTGATACATTTGTGATTTCAGTCACCGTCTTCAACATGGGAGCAGTTTATTTGTCCTCGTTGCTTTCCTAGCAAATGTTTTACGTTTTGAACAAATGCAGCCTGATTTCACTTGTGGTGTAAGGAATTCACTGATGTTCATTTACACATCTCATTTCATGGGATTTGTACACAGATTAGGATCTTGTGACCAGCACAGGTCTCTAGTAAATGTATAAGATCATATGAGGGAGGCAACAGCGAAGCCCACATCGGCTGTATTTGGGGAATTTTACACTGGAATAGTGTTAATCAGAAATAAGCTGGGGTCTTCACAGCCCTGGCTGGGTCATCCAAACATTTCTGATCTTTTTAGAGACCTAAAGCACCCAGTGACCCCAGAAAACATCTTAACAGCAAGTCAGAGTGCCAAGCAAGAAAACATTTTGAGTTCCTCTGTTTTGATGAGATCGAGGCATCTGTCCAGCAGCTGTGGTCTCAGTCAGTAATGAAACAAAAGCACCCATCCACATATCACCAAGAGGAAACCGTCGCCTTTACTAAGATCTGCTGTAAACACTCTGGTCTGCCTGAAACATTCAGGCACCAGTGCAGCACCACACCTCTCACTACAGGAAGCAGCCATTCATTTTTCATGCTAACCTCCTGAATAATTGAGAATGTATCTGTTGCTGATGGACTCTTTGCTGTTTAGTGAGGGTAGATCAAAACCCTGGAGGCAAACACCCTCCATGCCCCACCCTAACCGATGATTGTAGGCGCTGCTTCACTTCATCTTTATTTCCACACATTTATGGTCTGACAGATTCTGGTTGCCATGCATCTTCTACTCATTGGGTACAATATTGGCTCATTTTTGTTTTCCCTTTATGCTAAGCATTTAAATAACTATGCAAAATAAAACTCTGCCTGCTTTTAATTTTCTTTATTCTCTGAAGCATATTTGGATTGTTAATAGCTGTGGCGCCTGCATAAAAGACAAATATTTGCTCCTCTGAGTCTTACTCAGCCACTATATCTACATTTATGAGTATAAATAGGTGGATTTTGTGGACAGCTTGACATTGGGTCCAGATCCCATATGCACACACACATTCTTACACACTGTGCCTTCTGTGTTCAAAGTAAACCTCACCCATCAAAGCCACTGACAGAAATAGAACACATCCCCTTTTTCAACCATACCAGCTCTGGATCTCCTTAATTACCGTTGGCATTTACACATCTCAGCTCCTGCAGACACAAACACACATTAGTGTGCACCCATTCACACAGAGAGAGTGGTGCTTCCCAGTCTGGGGTCTGTGCCCTCCCCTTAGGGGGGCGTCGATGATCACAGGGGGCGCATGAAGCTTTGATAGTTCTGAGGTTAAAACGTCACAGTGAAATTTCAATATTATAATTAAAACCTCTTATAAAATATTTGGTGATTTAATATTAGTTTTTATAAGGATAAAAAGCCTTAAAAAGCTAATTTTAGCAAAGTAGAGACTGATAATGACTCCCAAATAAACTTACAAGTATTACAATTTTAAACATATTTTGAAACCACACCAATAAAAACACAAGTTTCAAACACTTTGTCACAGACTCTTACCAGCAAATACAAGTGGGATTGAGAGAAAATGAAGTTAGCAAAAAACCACACAGTGTTAAATGTAGTTTGGAAAGACTTTAGAAATCTGTGTAACTGCTAAGTTCAAGTCATGGTTAACAACTTTCACCCTTCTTGTGTGATTTACAAACTTTTTTCTCACCACCTCAATTTGCTAAGATAAATCTTGCTCCAAATAACAAAATTGTTTCCAGAGATATTTAGCTTATGTTTGACCCATTTCAATTTTAATATAAGCAAAAGCAGAAGTTATCCAATTCAAGTATTTCTGTAATTATTCAACAACAGAACCAGCCATCACCGTCTGATTACACTCTTTAAACAGTCTGAACAGAAGCTGATATATAAAACCAACTTCACAAGTAAACTGTGCAAAACATAACAAATAAAGACGGTGAGCTGCTCATGAACTACTTGTCAGTTTTGAGCAGCTACTTAATCAAATATTGATTTTGTGCATATTTTTGATCAATGTGAATCTCTTATCTTTTGGTATCTTGTCTTTTGTGTGGCTTCACCAGTAACCAGTTTGGTTATTTTTCACACAACTGCCATTGTTTGAGTCTTTCTAAATTAGTCAATACAGAACTAATGAACTGTGAAAAAACTTTATTCGTTTAAAGCCTGAATGAGCATTTTCTGTCTTCTGTTCTTCAAACAGCAAACTATAAAGCAAATAAAAACCTGGGGTTCTGCTGGTAAAATACAGCAGTGTGAATAGTTGCCTGCAACTATGTGTTAGAACTACAGCATGTAAGGAGAGTTATAATGACTGTTAGAAACTCTAAAAACAACTTAAACCTTTGTAATGACATGAGGGATTTTTGACAAACAGCAATTACACAGTTACATAAAAATATATGTACAGCAGTTGTCACATTAACAATACTTTAACCTGTATAAATCTTTGCTCAAACTAGCTTTGCAACGGTCCCACTCTCACTTTCCTGGGATTACTTTTCCATATGTTTGTATGTTAAATATTATTTTAATGTATGTTTAATTATGTATTACTTTTACCACTATTAAAGATACAATCTCACTTTGGCAATAGTTCATTTATCAAGACCAAACATTTCTCAACAACATATAGAGCACAACAATTTCAATACCTTAATATTGGTCAAAGAAAAACTATCACGTGTATTTCATGGAATTGCAAGTAAATAACTAGCATAACTAATCAAAGTAGCACAATATAGAACAGCTAAATAGCATGGTGGGAACAAAAACTGCCTCCCCAGCAAACACTCACCCTCTATCATGAGACCAACAAGTGGATACAAGGGGATTTAGAGCGCTGGAAGCCACTGAGATCAATAATGCAATCGGTTAGTGTAAAATTTGCAGCCCGCGCTCTTCTAAAAATGCATGACCTGTATGAAACAACGCAATCATCCAGGTCCAAGAAACAGAATTATGGCAATGAGAATCTCCTTCAAGGCCGTGTTTAGGAACACGAGTTAATTCATGTTGCTCTGAGGGGACAGTGAGTCCGCTGATCGATGAGATGCAGGCACATAACCAGTGGTTTGAAAAATGGGCCCAGTCTCTGAAGAGTCAGCTTCAAGACAATCAGCTTGTCCACATAAAATGAACCTTGTGGCAAACACTGTTATAACAAATGTCTCAAAGAGCCTTGTTCTGAGCATGAGTCTGTGGAGCCTTGTGTCTGTACAGTTGATATATGATTTTGTGATTACACTCTGGCACTTGGTAATTATATCTACCTCCTTCTAGTTCTTCATTTGCAATTCCATTTTAATTCACAGGTTTCCAGTGTTAAAGACTGCTAGGAAGGAGTTAGATTTGTAATTTTGACCACTTTTTATTCCCATAAAATCCTAAAGTCCATAACTAACTTATATGTAAAAAAAAAAAGGAGGGAAAAAAACATTTTACAGCAAATGGAGAAGCTAAGCACTGATAAATGAGATGTGTGAAATAAGAGAGTGGTGTCTCCGTAATTTCACAGTAATACCCTAATTACGTTCACAAAAAAGGAGAGT